TAAAAACCAGGAAACCAACATAAACACAGGGAACTCATGCCCAGTGACAGATGTGCTGACCCTAGAGATGAGATGCTAATTCCAAGGTACCCCCTCCCATCCCCATGGGTGAGAACAAGGGGGCAGGAGTGAATCTCTAGTCCAAAGACAGAAAAAACAAAACAAAACATTTCTCTACCTTTATGGACAATTACATACAGCTACTCTGTCATAATTATAAACAAGGGTTCAGCACGTTTTCATAAACTTATAAAGTATCCAGGTACTTCTGCAGTAAGTGTCTACCCCCAGCCCAACCGGCAAACTCCGTCCAGCTTCTGTAGATGGGGCTATGCCTCAGTGGAGTCCCTGAACAGACCAACTTCCCTCCCAGGTTGCTCCTGCCTATCAGCCTATATGCATGTCCCATCCCCAGAAACACCCACATGCCCCTCAGACCAGAATGTGGACTCCGTTTGTCTGAACTCCTATCCTAACAGCTGTCACAAGAAGTACCCACTGCACTCTCCATTATAGCTGAAGTCACCTCAGGGCAGCCCTGTCATATCCCAGTGTCCATTGGGGATGAGGTGGATGGGGTGTTAGATATCTTTCTTTGTCTCTAGTCTCTTGCTTTCATATTGTCCTAAAAGTGTGTTCCTAAAGTTGCCATTGATTCCTTTTCTTTTCTAAAAACAATGTATTTATTTTATTTTACTTACATGAATGTTGTGCTGGCACGTTTGTTCACCACAAGTGCGTCTGGTGCCTGCAGAGGTCAGAAGAGGGTGTCAGACCCTCTGGTACTGGAGTTACAGGTGATTGTGAGCCACCGTGTGGGTGCTGGGAACCGAACTCTGGTCCTCTGGAAGGGCAGCCAGTGCTCTTAAAGGCGGAGCCTTCTCTCCAGCCCCTGAGCTTGTTTTCTTGAAGCTGCAAAGTTTCTGACAGCCACTGCTACAGTGCCTCTCACAGTGACAATGACAATAAAAACAGATTCAGAAGCTGAGGGAGTTTGAAAGTGAAAAGCATTTTTAAAGACGCTTTCTCGGTGGGATGGCACGCACATAGCACAGCCCGAGAAAGTAGCAGACAGCTCGAAGGAGTCAGTTCTGTCCTTCCACCATGTTGGGATCTGGAATCCAACTCAGGAAAGTGCTCTATACTCTGAACCATGTAGCTGCCTGGACTTTTCCATTTCTTCGTGCATGCATGGAATCCCTATGGGTATGTGACAACCTTGCAAGGGGCAAAAAGGCTTCCCAGATGCTCCTCTGGGTGTAGGCTGCTGCATGACATTGCTTATCCTAGAAAGAAGAATTGCCCTGCCACCAAAGCAGTACTAGCCAGTGAGCAGCTGACCGGGCACAGGGAGAGCAAGTCCCATACCCAGAAAGCCAAGCAGCACTGGGCACAATGAAGAAAATGGACTCTACATTGAGATGCCAGTTTGCTGTGGGATGTCCTGTATACTGTGAATATATGTTGCTAGGATTGATTGATAAATAAAATGCTGATTGGCCAGTAGCCAGGCAGGAAGGATAGTGTAAGTGTAGGCAGGACAAGGAGAGAGGAGAATGCTAATGGAAGAAGACTGGGTCGTAGCCGGGGGGTGGTGGGGCACACCTTTAACCCCAGCACTCAGGAGGCAGAGGCAGGCGGATCTCTGTGAGTTCGAGGCCAGCCTGGTCTCCAAAGCGAGTTCCAGGAAAGGCGCAAAGCTACACAGAGAAACCCTGTCTTGAAAAACCAAAAAAAAAAAAAAAAAAAAAAGAAGAAGAAGGCTGGGTCGAGGAGACGCTGCCAGCTGCCGTGATGAGAAGTAACATGTTAAGATACCGGTAAGCCACGAGCCACATGGCAACTTGTAGATTAATAGAAATAGCTTAATTTAAGATATAAGAACAGATAGCAAGAAGCCTGCCACGGCCATACAGTTTATAAGTAATATAAGTCTCTGTGTGTCTTATATAATAGTCTCTCAGCTATTCCTTTAGCTTTGATGATCCCATACCAGAAAACATTCTTAGAAAAATCTGAGGTCCAAGGCTACAGTCCTATCCCTGGGAAGGATGAAATGCACCCAGAAGTTCAAGACTAGCCTGGGCAATATAGTGAGATGCTTCTCTTCAGAAATCCCAAATCCCAACTTGGGGATTGTACAGCACAATCCTAGTAATTCTAGTACTCAGGAGGTCAGAACAAGAGATTCAGAAGTTCAAAGTCACCCTCAGCTATGTAGGGAGTTTCAGGCCAGCCCAGGCTGGAGACCCTGTTTAAAATTAAATTCCTTGGGAGTCAGAGCCAGGTGAATCTCTGAGTTCGAGGCCAGCCTGGGCTACCAAATGAGTTCCAGGAAAGGCGCAAAGCTACACAGAGAAACCCTGTCTCGAAAAAAAAAAAAACAATAAATAAATAAATAAATACATAAAATCCAAAATTCGAAATTTTTTGAGTGCTGACACATTGCCACAAGTGGAAAATTCCACATCATGAAGCTGTTTCATGCATGAAATTCTCTAAAATGGTGTCTAAAATTGCATCCACGCTATGTGCATAAGGCGTGCACCAAACATAAATGAATTTCATGTTTAGAACTGGGAAAACATCCCATTATGCATATGTAAATATTCAAAAATCTTTAACCACTTCTGGTCCCAAGCATTTTGGATAAGATATTCAGCTTGCAAGTGTATCCAAAACTTTGTCAGTTGCAATGCACTTTAAATCTATGACCAAATTTGAACCTGAGAGACATACTGAAGGTAAGAAAAGTGGGGCCCACAGGGTTTGTTTGTTTGTTTGTTTGGTTGATTGGTTGGTTGGTTGGTTGGTTTTTAAGGAAAAGTCTCGTTCGAGGCCAGCCTGGTCTACAAAGTAAGATCCAGGACAGGCACCAAAACTACACAGAGAAACCCTGTCTCAAAAAAACAAAAACAAACAAACAAAGCCAAGTCTCACTATATAGCTCTGGCTAGCCTGGAACTTGCTATGTAGACCAGGTTGGCTTCAAACTCACAGAGGTCCATCTACCTCTGCCTCTTGAGTGCTGGGATTAAAGAAAGTATATTACTATGGCTGGCAAGAATTTTTAAAATTTTAAATTATTATTTAATTTAAAATTGACATTTTAAATTAAATAATATTTTAACATTTTTTTTTGAAAATTTTATTCATGTAATTTTTATTCATGCCACATACACACCTTTGGGGACCAGAAGAGTTCCCTCTGGAGCTTGAGTTACAGGAAGTTACAGTAAACTGCCCAACATGGGTGCTGGGAACTGAGCTGGGGTCCGCAGGGAGAGCAGTAAGTGCTTCTGACAGCTGAGCCATTTCTCCAGCCCTCAGAGAATGTCTCTAAGAAGCACTGAGGATACCAGTTGAGTGGAAGCAGAGGTCTGGAGAGAATGTCTGGTTTCAAGCTCCCCTCTCCTTTTACCCCATTCAACTGCCCTGGTCACTGTCTGTGAGAGACTGATGGCCCAGATCTTCAGGCGGAGTCATGGTGGTCCTTCAAGACTCCCCACTTAGACATCAGCACCCAGGCATCACTCATCTCTATCTGTATTGCTGGACTCTGCTCCCCAAGGTCTCTCCTCTGGCTTTCCCAGGGTACAAGGCACAGTCAGGGGAGTCTCCATGGATACCGGCTCTTGTTCACTCTCTTGCTGGGATGGACCACCTCTGGATCCCTTGAGAATCGGTCCCCAGGGCAGCAGTCTTATCACTCCCACTCTGGCCATAGCTGAGGCCAGGCTGCCTCCAGCAGCTTGTTCATCCTTCTCCCTGGACCTTCTGGTCTAATCCCCACCGTGCACACCTTGCACACTGATGGTCTGCCCTGGTTTCCTCCTCACACACATGGGCAGACCTTCTTGCTCCCCTTAGAAAAAGAGTCAAATCCTCTCTGGGTGACAGGGCATCTCCTCCAGATGGACGCCTCCCATGCCTCTCAGGGAGCTCTAGCAAACAGGAGCAGCTGCTGTCTTTGCTTAGTTGAGATAGGGTCTTCCTATGCAGCCCTAACCGGAGTGGTCCTCCCCGTGTAACCCAGATTGGCCTTGAACACACTTGCCATCTTTTTTTTTTTTTTTTGGTTTTTCGAGACAGGGTTTCTCTGTGTAGCTTTGCGCCTTTCCTGGAACTTGCTTTGGAGACCAGGCTGGCCTCGAACTCACAGAGATCCGCCTGGCTCTGCCTCCCGAGTGCTGGGATTAAAGGCGTGCGCCACCACCGCCCAGCCACACTTGCCATCTTAGTTGTGTCTTGTCTGCTGGACCTACTGAGCTCTGGGAAATGGGCGGTTTCTTTGTGTTTAAAAAAAAAATGGGGCTGGAGAGATGGCTAAGCAGTTAAGAGCACTGGCTGTTCTTCCAGAGGACCCAGGTTCAATTCCCAGCACCCACAAGGCAGCTCACTTGCAGGTAAAACAATGAACAAAAAAATAATAAATATATATATTTTTAAATGTGATCCCACTGGGCAGAGGTGATGGCGCATGCCTTTAATGCCAGCACTTAGGAGGCAGAAGCAGGCAGATCTCTGTGCGTTCAAGGCCAGCCTGGTCTACAGAGTGAGTTTCAGTACAGCCAGGGCTACACAGAGAAACCCTATCTCAAAAAACCAAAATTAAAAAAAAAAAAAAAAAAGGAATCCCAACACTACAAAGGTAGAATTGAATGGTTTCTGCCACTCCTCATGTGGGTGCCCAAATCCACAGTTCAGATGCCTGTGCTTACTGCTGAGAGCTCTCCTTTCTGTAAGGAAGAATGACAGAAAGCCCCTCCAGGCCAGTGCCCATGTCACTGCTGCCCAGGAGCACTCCACTGTCCATACTCAGACCCTCTGTCCAGTCTTCCTGCACCCTGACAAGGGACGCTCTCAGAAGGCTAGGTGACTCTCGTTCTGTGGCTGGGTCATAAGAAAACAGCAGGGTCTGGACAAATGGAGCCTGGACCCTGCAGAATCCGAGGGATCATGCTGGGGGTTGGGCCTTCAGTGCCTCTTTTCTTTTCCAGGGGATGAACAGTCAGTACGTCCGCCGAGAGGTCTTCTGTGGGAACACCTGCCACGAGCTCAAACGCTTCTGGGAAAGGGAGATTGGCAAACAGACATACTACCGCGAGTCCGAGGAGCATCGCCTGGGAAGGAGCGCGCTGAGAAAGTACGCAGCCGCCGTCTGTTTTCGCACATTTTGAAAAGATTTATGTATTTTTGTTTTATGTGTATGGATGTTTTGCCTGTATCTGGGATCTTGTGCACGCAGTGGCCCTGGAGGCCAGAAGAGGGTGTTGAATCCTCTGGAGCTGGAATTACAGACTGTTGTTAGTTACCGTGTGGGTGTTTATAGCCACCTGTAACTCCAGCTCCAGGAGATTCACCACCTCTGGCCTCCTTGAGTACACACACACACACACACACACACACACACACACGCACGCACGCACGCACGCACGAACGCACGCACACATGCACATTATTAAAAATATTAAGTCTTGGAATATAAGATGGAGATACTGGAGATGGCTCTGAGACAAGTCTGGGCAACATGAAATTGTTAAAAACAGAAAAGAGGGAGGGAGGGGAGGAGGGAGGAAGGAAAAAACCAGTTAGAAAATGGACTGAGGAGACGGCTCAGTTGGTAAAGCATTTGCCAGGCAAGCTTAAGGACCTGAGTTCAAGGACCAGCCCAAACATAAAAATTCCAGCTACAGCAGTGCATACCAATTATCCCAGTGCTGGGAAGATGGAGATGGGAGCTCCACTAAGGTCTGCTGCCTAGCCAGTCTAGCTGAATTGGCCAGCTTCAGTTTAGTGAGAGATCCTGTATCAAAAAAATAAAGTAGGTGCTGGAGAGATGGCTGGAAGATGGCTCAGTGGTTAAGAGCACCAGCTGCTCCTCCAGAGGGTCCCAGTTCAATTCCCAGCACCCACGTGATGGCTCACAACCACCTGTAATTCCAGTTCCGGGGACCCAATTCCTTCTTCTGGTCTCTGAGGGTACCAGGCACATGCATGATGCGCAGACATGCATGTGGACAAAACATTCATAATATAAAAATTTTAAATTTAAAAATAAGGTCGAGAACAACAGGTAAGACACCTGACATTGACTTCTGGCTCTGCATGTACCCCCCCCACACAGGCAGACTCATGTACACACAGAAAACCCCCCCAAATCAGAAACTGAATCTGTTCATTTTTCACCTATGGAAATAAACATGCATATATATTTGATTTGCAAGTCCTCTGCACACCCTCCCAAAGCCTGAACACAAAGGGTTTCGGGAGGAAATGGGAAGACGCTTCCTGGAGCCACAGCTGTAGAGAAGTCCATCTGTGCATGTTTCTATTTCCAGACTCAGGGAAGAATGGAAGCAGAGACTAGAAACAAAGCTGAGGCTGCGGAACGGTCCAGATGAGGCGGAAAGGCGGACAAATGTCAGCTGAGAGCTTCCCGCTTCCCTGGCCCCTGAGGACACAAAGCACTGGGTCCCTCGGCTGGAAGTCAGTTAAACCCCAGTCCCTCTGCTGTGGCATCCCTTCCCAACGCCCATGGCGGCTGTTTGCCAAGTCGTCCTCTCTGCATGGAGGCCAGGCTATTATTCCAAATGTCTCTGAATGTGAGCTTGTTTAATATCAAGGCCTCAGGCACTGTGTTTTGTTTTCACATAATTTCCCTCCAGCTTTAAAATCCACATATTTTAAAGTATGTGCGCACCAGAAGGGATTCGGATCTTCCTGGTGCTGCTTTAATGCTGTACCATTTCACCACGAAACATAATTGCATGCAATCTTTTCTCGTATTTTCCTTTGAAGAGAAGAGCAACGCCCCATCTACAGCACTCAAAGCAGCACCTGAAGTCATACAATAAGGTTTGTAAAGATCTGGTCTCTGTGTGAACCTACATGGCCTTTTAGAATGCTTATCAATAAAATTTGGAGGTCATTTTAATAAAATCCAGTCTTTTGCATTGCATTCTGTGAGCATGCCTTTCTTTGCACAGATTTAGTCCAGTTTCCACAACTGTGCACTGGTTAGCTTCCAGTCTGTTAGCACAACGAAACTGATACCAGGCTACAGATTCCGGACTTTGAAATGACACTGTCACGCCATCTCTCACGTCTAGAAGCATCAGGGCTCTCTGCTATTGAGAATGCAATGAGAGAGTTCAGGAAACTTTTTCTTTTCACAGAGGAAGAAAGTAAAGACATTCATGATTGTGGTCCATGATGCCTGTAAGGCTTTTTAGACACAAGGGTACTTCAACTAGTCAACATGAAAGTAATTCCTCTGATCACATACACATATATTATTATAATTATACTTTAAAATATTTATTTTTATTTCAAATTACGTGTGTGTGTGTATGGGGGGTGTCATGTGTATCTGTGTGTGGGTGTGTGCATGTGCATCTGTGGGGGGTGTGCATGTGTATCTGTGTGTGGGTGTATGTGTATCTGTGTGGAGGTGTGTGTATGTATATGTGTGTATGGGTGTGTCATGTGTATCTGTGTGTGTGTATCTGTGTATGGGTGTGTGCATGTGTATCTGTGGGGGGTGTATGTGTATCTGTGGGGGTGTGGGGGTGTGTACCTGTGTGGGAGTGTATGTGTATCTATGTGGAGGTGTGTGTATGTGTATGTGTGTACAGGTGTGCCATGTGTATCTGTGGGCGTAGGTGTGTGAGGGCAGGTGCCTCTGATGGTTGTCAAATCCTTGGGAGCTGGAGTTACAGGTGGATGTGAGCATCCCCATATGGATACTGGGAACTGAACCCGGGCCCTTGGCAAGAGCAGTACGTACTCTTAACCACTGAGCCATTTCTCCAGCCCCAATTATTATGCCTTGTTATGGACAAGGAAACCAAGGCTCAGAAAAGTAATACAAGTATAGAACTGATTAGTGAAAGAGTCAATGTCAGTTTAACTTCAAAACAAACCCTCAAATCATGGTGCTAGTTAATTAACACCCACACATTCTTATTTTCAGTGATTTGTGCTTGATGGGAATGTATTTTAATCAACTATTAAAATCCATGTATAAGCCAGGTGGTGGTGGCACGTGCCATTAATCCCAGTACTTGGGAGGCAGAAACAGGCCATCTTGTGAGTTCAAGGCCAGCCTGGTCTACAGAGTAAGTTCCAGGACAGCCAGAGCTACACAGAGAAACCCTGTCTTTAAAAAAAAAATGCGTGTATAACATGAGTGTTTATATGCTAAAATCACATTAATTAAAAAAAATCTTCAGTGGACTTTAAATTGAAGGGTTGCACTGTGAACAGTTGATCATGGCAGGAGTCTGCACCAGGTCCCTGGAAAACGCCATTTGTCCTTGTCATGAGTCCCCCATGGGCTCATGTTTGAAGCACCTGGTCCTTAGTTGTGAGCCCTCTTTTGGGAGGCTTTGGAACCTCCACAGCAGTGCCAAAGCTGGCCAAAGTGAGCTACTTGGGGAAGGCATTGTTGAAGGTCATGCCTGGTTCTAGCCTGAGCTTTGAGCTCCCTCACTACCAGGATGTGAACACGCCACGCCACGGGTTCCCACCCCTGTAAGCTACACTGTTCCTGCCACCGTCCAGGATGGACTCGCTCTCTACACTGTGAGCAGACATGAGCCTTCCCTCCCAGAAGCTGCTTCTGCCAGGAGTTTGTCACAGCACACATGTCACAGCACACATGCCACAGCACACATGCCACAGCACACGTGTCACAGACAGCACACATGCCACAGCACACATGCCACAGCACACCTGTCACAGACAGCACACATGCCACAGCACACCTGTCACAGACAGCACACATGCCACAGCACACCTGTCACAGACAGCACACATGCCACAGCACACCTGTCACAGACAGCACACATGCCACAGCACACCTGTCACAGACAGCACACATGCCACAGCACTCATGTCACAGACAGCACACATGTCACAGACAGCACACATGCCACAACACATGTCACAGCACACATGCCACAACACATGTCACAGCACACATGTCACAGCACACATGCCACACCACACATGCCATAGTGGGCAGATCAGTGATATCAACGGTGCTGCACACAACGCAGCAGGCTGACAAGCTTCCGAGAAGGACAGCTTTTGGAATTAGAAGAGGACTGCCAGCTTACTCCTGCACTAAATGTCGATATCCAATTGTGGGCTGTGTTACTGTTTGTCCACCTGTTTCACCAAAGGGCTTTTCCAGAAGTCTTTTCCACACCCAGTCCCAACTTCTCCTGACCTCCAATTCCATTATCGCAATAAACTTTACATCTGTCCTGTCTCAGTCACTCACAGGTCCTGTGAGTCGGCTCCGGGCTAGCGACACGACTCAGTGGGGGAAAGTACTAGCTGTGAAATCCTGATGACCCGAGTTCAACCCTGGAACCCACACTGGAAGAAAAGAACTGACTCCTGATGTTTGTCCTCTGACCGCCAATGTGCAGTGGCGCACACCTGTCCATCCTCAAACATACATCGCACACACACATTACAGATACACACACTTAGTGATCATAAATAATTTTTAAATGTCAGCTTCACTTTCTTAAGATTAGAAGGTTTAGAACCTAAACACTATGCCTTGATTCAAATGTGTCCAAAATTTTAGCACACTTGAAATTTACCATCTTAGGCCAAGCTTAGTGGTCCATACCTGTAATCCCAGCACACGGGAACGAGGTGGAGACAGGAGGATCAGTGGTTTAAAGCTATACTGACTACATAGAAAGCTGGAGGTCAGCCTGGGCTACATGAAATTCTGTTTTGATTTTTTACAAAATTAATAAAAAATTTATCATCTTTAGTATAAATACTGTTTAACTTATAAGAAAACTCAGTTTCCCATGCTCTTATAGCCTTACTCTTATGTACTACTCATGGGAATGCAAATTGGTCTAGTCATTATGAAAATTCCATAAGAAAGAAAGCCTGAAAAATAGAATTACCATACAATGGACCCAATTATACTACTCCTGGGTATCAACCCAAAGGACTCTAAGTCAACACACCACAGAGATGCCTGCACGAGCATTTATTGCAGGACTTTTCGCCATACCCAAGTCATGGCGTCAGCCTCGGTGTCCATCAGCAGATAGAGGACACATATGATAGACACACAATGGAATTAGCAAAAAAAGAGCAATTAGCCACAAAGAGCAAAGTTATGTTGTGTGTAACAAAAGGGTTGGGAGGCTGGAAAGATGTCTCAGCAGTTAAGAGCACTCACTGCTCTTGCAGAGGACCCTGGTTCAGTTCCCAGCACTCACATAGCAGCTTATAACTGTCTGTAACTCCAGTTCCAGGGGACCCAAGACCCTCTTCTGACATCTGTGGGCATCAGGCATGCACATGATACATATACATACGTGCAAAACACTCATACTCGGGGCTGGAGAGATGACTCAGAGGTTAAGAGCACTGACTGCTCTTCCAGAGGTCCTGAGTTCAATTCCCAGCACCCACATGGTGGCTGACAACCATCTGTAATGAGATCTGGCGCCCTCTTCTGCATACATAATAAATAAATAAATCTTTAAAAAAAAAAAAAACAAAAAAAAAAAACACTCATACTCATGAAATAAGATAATAAATCTTTAAAAAGTTACATTGCTTGCTAGAAAATTTAATGAAACTGGAAACCATTATATTGGTGAAAAAGCCAGACTCAAAAAGAAAAATATCATGTTTTCTCTCACTTGTGGAGTTTGGATTGTATATAAACTCTCCTCCCTCCCTCCCTCCTCTCTCTCTCTCTCTCTCTCCCCCCTCCCTCCCTCCTCCCTCTCTCCCTCTCTCCCTCCTCCTCTCTCTCTCTCTCTCTCTCTCTCTCTCTCTCTCTCTCTCTCTCTCTCTGTATACTAACATGTAAACAGTTAATTCAAACTGTAAATAGAACCCTGGAGGATGAATTAGTCTGTTCAGCTTAGTGCATCCTGCCCCATCGACGTGGTGTCCTTACAGAGATCTGAACAGTCCTAGATGGTGCTACCTGAAACCTTGATACCCTGGAGACAAGCTGTAAGTACTTCCTTTTGCTTACTGGGTGCAAAAGCAACTGGGTTAACATGCCTAGCGGACACGGTGGCCAGCTTTGGGAGACCTTGAGCAATACAATGCAGAAGGGCCATGAAGGGAAGGTCACAACTACCTAACTACCTAGTTACCTTGTGGAAAGAAAAGACAAGTTGAGAAGACTCAGGACCCACCACATGGGGCTTTGAGGCTGAATATGAGCCTCCATGGCATCCAGAACAGTCCCTAGGGATGGGAACAACAGTCATGTGACAAGACACAAGACGGATCTGTTGGGCAAATGAATGGAAGGTTTGCATACAGTGCGGTACTATGTTTTACAAGAGCCTCCTCCATAATACCCCCATTCAGATCAGGCTGAGGGGTCTGAATGACACCACTGAGGGCCTCTTTCCTTTCTCAGCAGAGAGCCAGCATAACACTCTGAGTTAGTCAACGTGAAGCAAGCTGCAGTCCATGGCTAAGCTTTAGAAGGTCCTTTTATAAGGCCACTTCCTGATCAGGAAGCTTTCATAATTGTCCAAACATTTCCTTTTGGCCTATGGAATGGAGAAGGTCATAGTGTGGGGGGCTTCTAGAACCTTCCCAGTGTGTCCACTACGGCAGTGTCCACTGGAGTCTAGTGCCACGTGTGCCCGGCCACTTTGCTGCTTGTAGTTTTCCCTAATAAATGTGATTCCTACTCTATGGTGGGTGGCTGTAGAGACAGGTGCCCTGTGCCCTTGACAACTGGCTCCATTCCGACTCTCCTCGAACCCAGAGGCTATCTTGATGACAACTCCCTAGGCCACAGGGGAGTTGAGGCAAGAAGAGAGAAAAATATAAAGCAAGCCAAGAACAAATGAGGAAAGGTAAGGAGCAGAGGAGAGAGTGTAGTGTTCTGGAGAGCTTGCAATTTAGAAAAATTCGTTTTTGATCATCGCTGGTTCTCTC